CTCGTTCTTTGCACGACAAACATAAAGAAAACTCACATAGGGTTAGTCATGTCTTCCCGTATAATTAAACTCCAGAACCTCTTGTCGGAATAGGATTAAATCTGATACGGAAGTTGTGACATTGAAAAGTAAAATCGATAATATCAACATATCGGACAAACAATCGTTTGAGGTAGGATCGAAACTAGCGCCACTTGCAACAGGGTCATTCAGTGAAAATATAAAACAATAACATGGTGGCTGAGTAAAAGAAAAACAAAACATGATTTTCACTGTTGGAAGAGACTAGCTTAAAATTACGTAGCTTGTTAAATAACACACCTGTGTTATTGACGATTGTATTCCTGGAATAATTTTAAAATTTGCGCCGTCAGAATGGTCATGTTGGTACTCATGTCTAGTGCAAGATGGCGTGCTGATAAATCGCTGTTGTTGAACTTGCGGTGTAAAAGTATTTTTTAAGGTGTTTATCTTACTATTTTACAGTCACAGTGTGTCAACATTGGAAGCCTAAGACTTGTGCAGAAATCGAATGAAGACTTTGCAGATAAGTCGTAAGTAATACTAATTGATCTTTTTGAATTGTGGTTAGGAGAACACGTGCAGCCAACTTCGGGTTTAAGTGACATACTAGGTTCATGTGTGTGAACTCTGTACATAGACCTCATAACACAATTCTATCTTTTCACAGTCGACATGAATGGTCGATTTGGTACTTTGAAACTGAATAATGAAGAAGTTAACTTTTACTACATTTATAACTTGGTTATTTTAATGTGTCTTTACTTTGTTACTGATAACAAAGTGATACTTTTACTGTGTTATATCAAGATTCTCTGTTTAGCTCATTTGTGTTTTAATTTCGATAAAATTACGCGTTCTATAATATTAATTGGGGAACATAATAATAGTTAGACTAATTAAAAGAATGTTAGTATGTCATTTGACCTGGGGTCCTGGCCAAAAATAACTACCTCGGTATTTTGATATTACTTAATTTCTAAATGCTAATAGGTAGCCTAATTGAGTATGTAATAAATATTTTTTAATGCTCCAAACATCACAGAAAGCATGGAGTTATATATTCAATGGTCAAAGCTAATTTGTTAAAACTATTTAAATTTATGTTGTAATTTTAGGTCAGTCTCCCTACTGACACTAAAACACACTGAAAATACATTTTAAAATCTGTTTTCTATTTTATCCTCTGAATCATTTGTTTATTAAAAACTGATTTTTGCCATGGTAACAATCTCAAATATATGATCTTCACTTTGTTGGTGTGTAATAACATTCAATTACCTATTTCTAAGCAGGGACCTTAGAGCTGTGGACATAACTGAGTTAAAATATTTAGATATTAGTGTTACATTCCCTCTATTAGGAAAACAAGCGAACAAATGACTAAGGCTTATGATGAACATGATGACTCATGCAGCATCTTTTGGAAAAGTTTTCCTAATTAAATTTTTGTGGCAGAATATATTTCTTTCTCTTTTAATTGTTTTAAAAGTTAAGAAGACGATATCAGATCTAAAACTTCTTGACGATGGTGAAGAGTCAATTGAATAAACATTTTCTTGGATATTATCCATCGTCTAGTAAATATAAAACGTAAAACGACGTTTCGGAGATGGTGTGGTAATGCCTTTTTATTCTGGGACTTTCACTTTTTACTTTGTCCGGAGATAGGGATTAGCTCTATCTAGTGGGCCCAACTGTGTAGGAACCTGAAGACGGAGATAGAGTCCCATCTCCGAAACGTCGTTTTACGTTTTATATTTACTAGACGATGGATAATATCCAAGAAAATTTTTATTCAAGAAGACGATAGATTACAAAAGACGAAAAGCTACCCGATCTGTTGTAGCGTTGTAACAAAACTAGTAAGTGTTAGTTTTATTTATAGTCGCCCAAGAACGGGCTGAAATTATATCGAAATTAATAGATCGTGGCTTAAATTTGTCACGACCAATTATTGGCTCCGTGAAGTTGATTCGTTCAACGTAAATCCGAGCAGATCTAATTCAGTCACAGTGCACTTATACTAATTTATAGACGTACCAGCTTCGAATTTCGCCCAACAATTCTCATTGTAACTTGTCGTAATTTTCAAAATAATTTTTAAACCACTGCAAGGAATAGTATAATAAAGTATATCTCCCATCTCACAATTTAAAAATCCTCGCAATTCTGCATTATAAAAAATATTGCACGCATTCTTCTCATAGTAAATTAAAATAGGGAGATGAAGACATTTAATGTTTTTTGTTATTAATATTTAATAGCATTATTTTGTGTAATATTTTTTTCTCCATAAGAAGATTAAACAATACCAGATAATAACACACCACAGCGTTACGTGTATTAGTCTTGTAATTTTAAAATAAAAATGGCTTCGTTTAGGTGAAAATAAAACTCAGTACAGAGGGCAAAAATACGAAATTGAAAGGAACTAGATATCTCCGTAAAGAGAAAATATCAAATTGTCCCAAGACTTAATTATTATTACTCATTTCAAAAGACAAACGTAATATTTATGATAAATTAAATAAATATCGAGTTTGATCTTTACAATAATTTTGTATTAGAACATAAGTTGTTTTGCGTTCTAACGCACACCCAAATGTTCAGAGATACGACACATCATTTGACTTTTTCTTATTTCCTTTTTAGACACATCCACCTTAATATTTTAATATTAACCTAATTCACATTATGACGCAAATATACTACCTTAGACACATCCACCTGTTAACACACAATTTTAAACGCCAATAAGCAACTCCTTTACAGCAATTTCTATGGGAATTATATATTTTAATAAAACAGCAATGGAACACTGTTTTGTGTTATACATTTAGTTCAAATTAAATTTATCTCACTTACCATTTATTTAGTATAATCATTTTCTTGGTGTTACTTGGTTCTTTGGTAGCGTCCGGAAGACCACTGTTCACTTGCTTTAAAATATAACAAATATTGAATATCTAAGCGAATAACTTTAAAATAAAATCACTACGTATGTATTTAATTACGTACGTATAAGCGGGTACGCACGCACTCACGATATACGCTCTTCGACGCTCAAGACTAAGCGTCTAGGCATCAGGAAACACTGAGCGAATGAAGAAGGGACTTTTGAAACTCTGACCGGCTACTGCCTCTCCCGGCCTGGCCGAAAGCCAATACTGCTAACACTGACCCAGTCTTCAGTCAGAGGCTGTGAAACAATTGGCCTTCTTCTAACAAAAATCTCGTATTCCTTAAGGCATACATAGACGTACCTCACCACAGCCAACAGGGCAACTGACCTTAATCACCCTGCTGGTTCAAAAAGAATTTAAACCACACCCCCCCAAAGTAAACACAATAATCTTAACCAAAAATAGGTCACGGCCACTTCTAAAACTGCATCATCACACTGATACACGTATTTGGAAATCACATTATCATAATTAATTAAATTAATTAATTAATTAAACTTAAAATGGCTTTGTCCTGAGTAGTTGTGAAGTGTCTGGCAGACGTTTACCGACGTTTTAGAGGTGCTTGCTGTATCTTATGATCAGGGCGATGTGCCCTCTGAAATGTAGGTAAATTTGTAGCAGATTATACGGAGAAACAGCCCACGAGAAATCCGTCTTATTATTTAATTAAATGAACCGTGATTTTGTATATTTTAATCAGGAGATTGCTTGATAGAGAGGTAAGTTGGCAGCTACAAGGCGTAATACAACAACAACAACAAAATAATGACCGCTTTTTACTATGTCTCTTCTATCTTGTAATTAAGTCATGATATTCCTCAGACTCGAAATTTTCTGAAAAATTATTTAAATCACGTTTTCAAGGACGTAGTATTAAACGTGCGGGGAAAAAAAAATCGAAAACTGACATTTAACATGAGAATAAATATTTCGTCAAACGCAGATTTGTCAACCCTAATCATGTTTATTACATTCACATTTAAATAAAATGTTAAGTGTAGGTATTTAAAATGTTAGGATGAAGAGCTTTCAGGTTTAAGAAGAAAAAGGCCTAGGGACTTAACACAAAACCAAGGGAGAATAATTTTCACGAATTTTCTGGCACGCGGCCCTCATATCTAGAGTATAATAAAGTCTGGAAACTGAGTGTAATATTAGTTTCTGTGATCTGTGAGGGGGGGGACCCAGTAGACGGCGTGCGGGTTGTCTAACTGCAGGCTGTCTTTCCCCTCCACTTTACTGCACTTTTGTTTTGTTTTCTTAGTGCATGTGCCCTCCCCTCTCTCTCTCTCTCTCACTAAAAGAACCAAAATTTTACTTCTATTCTAATTAAATACGTTGATTTTTACAATGCACTGATAATTAGGCTGTAATTACAGGCTTTATATTTCCTTGTCTTTTTCGGTACGGACTGGGTACTTCAGAATACGTGTTAATTATTTATATAATTATTATTATTATTATTTAGTATTATTTATTTTATTTAGAATTATTAAATTGAATTATATTACTTAGGTATCGTATTTAGCCCATTTGCTTGTGAAATATTATTCAATAAATGAATAGAATTATTATTAATATGGTACATTTATATATTTAGTTTAATTTGTTTGTTTTACTTTTATTATTATTGAAATGATTTTAATTACTTATTATATTTTATCCTGTACTCTGGTTTAGTGTTTGGCTGTTTTCAAGCACTTAAATAAATGAATTGAATTGAATTTTTCGAGACGAAAATTGTTACACTTCATCACATTCTGATAGTCGAATTTATTTAATTTATTTAAATTATTATTACAAATATACTAATGTATTTAGTAGCAATTTTATTTGTGTATTAGCGTTCCTGCATACTAATGTATTTTTTTATATTGTGTTTCTATATTTATTACTGTGTTCGTGTACTCATCTCTTGTGCTGTATCTGTAATTGGCCTTCTGACGTTTGATACAGCACACTGATAATAAATAATTTAATTTAATTAACACATTAATGCTCAAAGAAACATGTGGTATTCATAACCATTTATTATGCTCATAAATAAATTTCTTTACATACAATTTTGTAACATCATCAGTTTTGTTAAAAAAAAAGTTTTGATCGCTGCGTATTTTAATCTGAAGACAAGAGTTTCTGGGATTTCGACATCATTTCTTAAGCTGTTGGACTTAAGGCACATTTAACTGCAACTTGAACAGAGATGTACGTAGATTCGTTCTGCTTGCTCAAATCAAGTCTGGCGCCCTTCTGAACCATCTTGGTGTAATGTTCAGCGTTGGCCTTCATTGACGTGCAGTAGAACGGTACGGACTTCTCCACCATGGCCGTCGTGTCGTATCCGGTACTGCACGTGGGCAGGGGACGTTTGCTGAAACAACTTTTATCGTTTTCTGTAACGATAACGGTCTTGTATGTGACGCTACTTCCGATGTGTTTCGGGTAATGACCGGGAATTCTGTTGTCGGGTTTGTTAGAATGCTTGGTCTTCATAAATTCGCTTGATTCAGAACTGGAGCTGGAGCTGGAGCTGGAGCTGGAACTTGAAGTGGAGTTGGACTCTGAAGACGAAGAGGACGACGATGAAGATGAAGAGGAAGATGAAGAGGAAGATGATGATGATGATGATGAGGAATCATTGGCAGTTTGAAAGGTGTCGAATCCTCTTTGGCGAGCAGTCTTCGACTGACGTTTAGGTACGGCGTCAACAAAGTAAACCTTTTCCTGGATACAAGTTTCTTCCTCTCCAAACTCCTTCATCTTCTTGATTGGGACTTGGCATGAATCGTCATCGATTGCGTAACTGGTTACAAAGTAATCTGGATCAGCCACAATGCAGTTCTTCGGCGTTTTGAAGTCAGTGACAGGTTCTCCGTCGAAAGTTCCGCACAGTCCTTTAACCTGGTCGCGGTACTCGTTGCTAACTTGGAGTAGGACGCGTACCCCATCGTAGATGATTACCAAGCTGTTGTTAGGGAACTTGAGATGCACTGATCCACCCGGCAGACCGTATACTTCAGCCATCAGCACGTCGTCTGAGTAAAGTTGCGTCGTACTGGATGACGTGAAGCGAACAGGGTTACCGTTCATTGCGAGTTCTACGACGGCGTCACCCCGGCCAGAACGGCTAACAGGACGCAGTTCAAAACTGGCGGAACTAAGTAACACCCGCAATTCCTGTTTCGTAAAAGAAAAATTAAATATTACGTTAAGAAATTTATTTAAAAGTAACCGTAAAGTTAGTTTAAATCAAATAGAAATATAAATACGTTTTGTGTCTTGTTATTTTTATATTTATTTAGTGTTCTGTCTGACGACAGGTCCATATGAACAGGATCCTTCCATCCTTTTCTCGGACTGGGACCTGTTCATATACGTTCTTGGCAGATGATCCAGAAGTGGTTTGCCATTGCCTTCTTCTGTGTGTGAATGGAGTAATTGTTGGGATGCCACGGAGGAAAACTCCGTGTTGCCTAGACCACGGCCTTGCCCAACACAAGTTATAAATTCGGGCACCGTCGGGAATCGAACCCGAGACCCCAGGATTACAATGCCAGCGTCCTGATAAGAATAATTAATACTCACCTTATTTCTACCAACTTCCTTCACTAGAACTGTCACTTGATCGAGTCTATTCAGGTACTCCTGGGGATGGCGAGAACTTCGTGTATGAGACGTAATTCCTCCAAGTTTCGGAACGAGCTTCATCATAACGTACCAGCAATCTCCAAGCTCGATGGGGTACGTTCTGTTATCAAACGTATTGGCCATTGTACTGTCAAGAACACACGTAGCTACGAAACAAAAGAATCTAACATGAACGCTGAATATTTACAAATTTAACATTCATAATTCAAAAAGTCTCGACAGTTCTGGAAATAAATTATCCAAACCTGATTTATGTATAATTTGAAATTGGTTTTAGATATTATGTACCGAGAAGTTTTATAAAATAATTTTTCCTCACTTATTAATATGATGATAAATTCGATAAAATGGTTTCGCCGAACGTTTACCAAAAGTTTGACTAATGAAAGCACGATTACTGTGGACTTAAAATCTCGTGTAGAATTTTGAGATGTCCTTGCTGCCTTCATCATCAGGTGATGGAGACAGCAAGTACCTAAAAATGTTTTTAAATTTCTACCAGACTTCATTTCGCTACAACTCAGAAGACTGCCATCTTCGTGGAGAATATTTTGTATTGGAAGATCAAACTCAGATGAATAATACTGAAACATGTTTTGAATGAATGGGTTTGGTTGAACTTACTAACTATTGGGTAAGTTGCAGGGTTTTTAAAATGACGTTAATGAATTTTTTAGAACAATTTTGTGAGTCATTTACTATTGTACATATTGTGCAAGAGGAAGACTGAAAATTAAAAATCAATAAACGCAATGCACAAAAATGTACAATAGTTTTTAAAAATGTATGAATTGATAAGCCTGATGATGATGTGGTAAACATCGAAACATGTCGTCGAAATCAAAAGCGCTGTGATAGATGTAATATTATACGACACAGAAAAGCGCCATAAAATATAACATAAGGCAATTTATATTGTAAATGTTATAAATAATTTTAAACAACGTTATTTTAAAACAAGTTTTGTGTATAGACTGGAAAAATAAATATATGTATTGATATAACACAAACATGACGCAATTAAGATATAAATTCATAAACTTACGTTTATAGTAGAGTGGAAGGGCGTGTTTCCCAAGTCGATCAATGGTTGTGCTCTGTGGATTGATGTTGAGGAGAGTTTTCGTAAGTTGGTTCAAGAAAACGTTAGAGAAATTGACGTTCAATATTGGTGTTTCCATGGTTACATTTAAGGCAGTACTTTGTTCATTTACGTTAACAACAATATCTATACTGTCTTCTTGTGGATTTTGTGGATAGATATCTTCCGTGACGTAAGGATATAGCAAATGACGAACTGTGCTGTACAGTTTCGTGTATGTTTCGTTCTTAAAAGTTTCAAGTACGCCTTCTGATGTAATTTCAAAGTGATATTGATCAAGATTGTTAGCCAACTCAGTGACATTTCGACAGGCCGGTAGCAAATAATTCTTTTTAGTCATCTGTGACTCGCATAACTTGGCCATTGGGCTATCGGCAATAGATTTCTTACGCCTCTCCGTCTGTTCCATCTCGCCCTGAAACGTAAGTGAACAGGTTACAGTTTTCGGTGAAATACAAGTCCAGATTTTTTTTGTGCTGAAGTAAATAATATAAATTAACATACCTTTAATAGTATTGTACCTCCGTCTTTGCATGTTTTGCCAATACTCAGCATAGCTCGCACTGAGGAATTAGGATCGAATTTCAGGGCTTCGTGGAAGTTGATTTTTGGTACTTGAGGCATCGAAATGTTTGAAGCTAAGCATATCTGAAACTAAATTATTAACGAAATGACGTGTTTGTTTATTTACTTCGGATTGTAGTGATTTTAAGTTCATTCCAGTTTATTCTTAAATACAAAAAAAAATATCCCTGTAAATTATATTTATAAAGCTGACAAGACAAAATTAATAAAATCTGTGGGATATGAAGCCCATGTTACCTGCTGCTTGTCTGGGAGATCTGGATATTGAGCTGGTTGAGTCTTGAGAAAGACTAGAAGACTTTTATTTCCGTTAACTACTGACGAAGCAGCAGCCACCGTTAACACAAACTCTGCGTTTGTTTCTCCCTCGAATCTCACACCGAGGTCAATAACAGCAGAAGTAGCATCTGAAGAGGAAGTTAATTATGTGTTTTGAGTAAAACTCGTTTTGTCGGAAGCGATAGATTGAAATGAAATAACTCCTGAACTTCACGTATGAGCCGGGATAGCTCAGTCAGTATAGTGACTAGCTACGGGCTGGACGACCGGGGTTAGATCCCCGACGGGGGCAGAGGATTTTTCCTCTAGCCTCTTCGTCCAGACCGGCTCTGGGGCCCACCCAGCCTCCTCTACAATGGGTACCGGGGTCCTTTCCCGGGGGTAAAGCCGGCCGGGGCGTGATGCTGACCACTCACCCCCCATCTAGTACCGAGGTCAAGGAAGAGAGGAGCTATACCTCCACTCACCCCAAGCGCCTACATGGCGTATAGTGGGACAAACTTTACTTTACTTACTGAACTTCACTCTCCGGGCAGGTTATATTTTTGGGAAACTGTCTTCGATAGATCAAGACACAGAGATAATGTTACATTTTAGATTGTGTTACCGAGGACCGAACTCAGACCTATGAGTCCAAGTTGTTTCAACCACGGAAATACATTTACTGTACCATGAAAGAACAGTTCAGATTGATACTGAAATTAGCCTGTCATTTGTTTCAATATTTACTTCAAGCGAGAGGTATTGATTATTAAAAAAAAAACATGATGTAGTAATTTTAAAGTATATTACTTAGTTTCAAGTTAATAATTCCAGGTATGCTCCTATATTAAAATTGAAAATAATTTGCAATTAGCCCTTCGAAGCCGATGCTCGTCTAAATAATATTTAAGAATTTAGACCGTACCGAAAAGAGAACACAACACTTCACCATTACAAAGATCAAATGGTTAACCCGGTGTAAGGAAATAATCGATGTACTTTGTGGTTGTGAAAATCTGATGTAATTATGTAAATAATAAAATTTAAGTCGTATTTAGCTTAAAGTCGATAGGAGAGCAGAAATTATACTAAAATTTTACATACATATATAAATATTTACATGCGGAAATATTTTAGACCAGAATTTTTAATTACTCTAGAACGAATTACAGCAGATATTGGGTAAATTTACGTAGTTTTACTAGAAATTCTACGAGCATTCTCAATGCTTATATTTATAATGTTATGTGCAAGACAGTCCTGTAAAGAAATATAATAACTTACTTCCGGCAGCAGAAGCAGATCTTGAAAGAAATTCCTTTCGCCGATGAGGACAGTCAGGTAATGTCCTCCAATCCGGATCTGCGGGGTTGTTGAAATCAGATTCATCTTCTAAGTTGCTTCGCCTATGTTTCATCGGCGGACTTCGTGACATTCGACCCTTAACCTTCTTTGACTTAGGTAATTTATCTTCATCTTCAAAATCAGCTTCAACTTCGTTGTTGTTACCTGAACAACAATTAAGTCATAGTGTCATGGATGTAAATCATTTGCTTTTAAGCGTTCACGGAGTTTTCCTCCGGGGACTTCCCCGGTTTCTCCGTGGCATCCCAACAATTACTCCACTCACACACAGAAGAAGGCAATGGCAAACCACTTCTGGATCATCTGCCAAGAACGTATATGAACAGGTCCCAGTCCGAGAAAAGGATGGAAGGATCCTGTTCATATGGACCTGTCGTCAGACAGAACACTAAATAAAATAATATATCATGAAGCCCAGATAACCCTTGAATTACCAATAAAGATCCAGTCATGCTCAGGTCTTTACACGTGAATCTATATTCTGATTCTATGGGCTAATTAAAAAAGAGATTAGTTGCAATTAATAACGATTTAAAAGAAAAACTCAGCCCATAGAAACTTGTACATAGTCTATGAGACTGTCTTGTAATTTGATCTATTTGTGAGATAGTATAGTTGAGTCATATTGTGATATTAATTAAAATAATTATTATAT